ATCCAACACCACCATCACCTTCGAGTATATCGACCTTATGAATGATATTCGGAAGCTCTTTAACAACAATATGTGCTAGTTGAATAGTGCCATAGATTTTCCAAGCTTCATTTGCTGGCACATGAACTTCAATCTCTTCAGAAATTGTTCCAAACATGTTTGTTGAGTGAAAAATATAGTAGTTTTGAGTATGTTTTGATTATTGTATGTTTTCCTTTAATGTACGCAAAGTTATATGTATATATATACACAAAAATGATAATATTTGGAGCATATAATTATTAGGCCTTGCCGAATGAGAGATGTGATGTTGACATATGGCCGGCCAATTGTACCATCACACCACAATATAAATGCCTCGTTCGTATCAAGATTTTTTTAAACTTACATAGAGACTGATTGATATACGTTTATTTGGATGTTACAAACAAAAAAAAAAGATGCAAAAGGGAAAACCTAATTTTCTAATGTTGTAAAAACAACAAAATTATTAAAATTTAAAATCTTAAAAAGTATTTATGTTTCAATAATTCAAAATTAAAGAAGGATAATGCATCAATAATTTTTGTCTAATGAAATTCAAATATGCGCGGATCTTTCAATGTAAATTATTTTAATTACCAATTGACAAAAAATATTGTAATATATAAAAAGTTAAAATATTTGATCAAAATGTTAACCTATACTATTTCTATATATGGTTTTATAACAATAAAGCATTTATTATTTTATTTATTATGAAAATAAATGACTAGCAATAAAAGTGAGAATACAGTAAACTAAAATAATTAATATTTGATAAGGTTATTATAAAATACAAAGATCCTACTAATATAAAGCTAGTTATTGTTGTTAACTTGTTAAAGATAAATAAATAATTATAATATGGTAATATTAACATATAATATAAAAATCATCCCCGAAGAGATTTGCTTGTATGATGATTTCTTTATATGGTGACATATAAAAGAGTGGTTCAATGTATGAATAAGCATTCTTTGTTCACTCAAAATTCAGTGAAGGATCACATTTCATAATTTTGTCTGATGTAGAATATCTACACTAATATAAATATTAATAACTAATTCACGATTCAAACTTTAGATCCATTTATTATAGAAAAAAGATATAAAATGACACCTAAAGTTATTTCGAATTTTCAAAAAGATACCTTAACTATGCGGATGCCTTATTATCTCCTAAATAATTTTGAACTGATATTATTATATCATTTTTCGTCTACTTGACATAGAGAGTGTATGCACACTCTTTAAAGAGCGTGAGCAACCTAAAATAATAAATATAACTTTATTTTATAGGTATTTTGTTATAAAATATAATTTCTTGTTTTTCTTATTATTTTAACTTTTTATCTTTGTTATTTTTTTCTCTTTTTTGCTTCTTTCTTGTTCAAAAATTCATTGTCATCTCCATTAAAACTCTTCACTTTCAATGTCAATATTGGTATAAGTCTCTTTAATTTTAAACCTTTATCTATTTTTTTTAAAAAATTCGAACAATTTGATGAACCCATTAGATTTTTCAAGATGATTAGGATGTATCATTTAACTTTATTATCCGGATTTCATCAAGCTCTTTTAATTTTTGGGAATTCATTTATTCTTTCAATTTTATTTTTTTAATTTTGAAGTTATATGAAAAGAAGATAAATTAATTGATGATACTTTCAAAATTTTAAATTTTTTTAGAAAAATAATTAGTTTTGTTATCACTAACTCAACAAAGTATAGAAAATAATGTAATATTTTAAGAAAAAAATCACTAAAAGAATGGAATTTGACGGAAGAAGAAGAGAAAAAAAAGAATGGGAAGAGACACAGCTTGACGAGGGTGGGGAGAGATGAAAGAGCGAGAAGAAGAAAGAAATGGAGGAAGGAGGTCAACTTGAAAGTGGGGGGAGGGTGGGGTGGGATGGAAGGTGAATTGAAATGTAAGATGAAATTAAAATAAAATAAGTAAAAGTAAGAGACAAAAAAAAGGTAAACAAAAAATTTAAAATGAAAAAATATATATTTTAAATTAAATTAACACGTGTCACATAATGATTAGTGTGTGATAACATTTACTTTTTAAAATCTGAGATTGACCGAAAAAATGATGTAATAGTATCACTTTAAAATTGTTTAGAGGGGTAATTGGACGCCTACATAGTTAATGCGTCTTTTTGAAAATTTGAAATAACTTCAAATGTTACTTTATATCTTTTCTCATTATTATATGAAGATAATTTTCTCATTGCCTTATCATAATTTTATCGTTATTTTACGACTCCTCTTCAAATGTGGTGGCATGATTGGACCTACTAAGATAAGGTGTAATACATACTATTAAATTATGTGAGTATTAAATTATCTCCTAAACTACGATTATGCAGTGTTAATTATTTTCCTCATTTCCATTTAGTTGGCACGTACATAAAAAACTAGCTTAGCATACGTGTTTTATATGTATGTCACGTGTCAATTAATAAAATTATATATAAGAAGAGTAGAATTATTTAAAAATAATAATTGATGTTAAAATAAATGTTATATCTATTTAAATGATTATAATTTTATATATGAAGCTTAGAAAGTGCTAATCACTATACTAGCGAACAATTACCAGGTGCTAATCGGCCTGTCGCGATTGAGTCACTGAGAGTGAGTCAGGAGACCTCGTGACCAGGGGTGGAGCCAGCTTATTGTTTGGAGTTTGTCCGAACCTCTTTTGGCGAAAAATATACTATTTATACATGGTTAAAATTATTTTTTAGGTATATATAATAGATTTTGACCTCCTTCGATTAGTTTGTGTGTTTACTTTTTTAGATTTTGAACCCCCTTATTGAAATTCTGACTCCGCCGATGCTTGTGACTCAGAACAATTATTGGGACGGACTTTTGTGGAAAATGAAAACGCCCTTTATCGGATTGGAAGCGATGACTTAAGCCTCAGAGAAGGCAAAAGAAGCTAGAGAGGAGTCAAAAATAGGGTTGTGAGTTTTATTTTGTTTGAGTTAGGAATTAGGGGCCAAAATTTAAAAATTGAAATGAGTTGGGTTAAAATTAAATGAAATTTTTACATAAATAATATATATGTTATTTGATTAATTATGCTTTTAAGAGTTATTTTATTTTTATTACCATATATGATATAATTTTAGCTTTAATAACCATTTGATATAAATATATATTAAAGTTGTATTTAAATTGTATATTAGGTAAAGTTCTGAAAAATTGTATAAAGTTGTATCAAAATTGTATTAAATATAAATAATCGGTGGTCCGATGGTGGTGATAACGAAAAAAAGAGAGATGAAGCTCTGAAATTATTAAAGTAGTACTAAAATTGTATAATTATAAATGATAGTTATAATACAATTCGATTTCAATATTATATATATTATAAATTCGATAGTTATTATTCCAGAACAAATATAATACATTTCTAACAATGTAAACTAATTTAAATAGTACCGAAACGTTTGAAATTCACATATAATACTTATAATATATTTGTATTAAAAATATTATTGTTATATATTAGGTGAAGTTCTAAAAAGTTGTATTAAGGTTATATCAAAACTGTATTAAATGTAAACAGTCGGTGATCTAATGGTGGTAGTGATTTACTGAAAAAGAAGAGGTGAAACTCTGTAAAATCTATATTAAAGTTGTATTAAAATTGAATAAAAAAGCAGTGATAGTGACCATGTTATTTGTGGTAAGAAAGTAAGGCTGATCTGTGTAAGAGTAAAAGATATGTTATAATTCGTAAATAAAGTTATATAATATATTATTTATGCAAATTGCCCAAATTAAATTGTGTTGGATCAAAACTCAAAATATATAATTAATATAATTTTAAAAATAAAATATTATTTTGATTTTATTTAATGAAACTTCGATTATTCGGTGCACCGTGGAATCACAATCCTTGCATCGAACACCGGATCGAAGAATCAAATTATCCAAGGAAAAGAACCGACGCTGAAACGAAAAATCGACATCAAAAAATTGAATTAGTTCAGTTCAATTTTTGGTATTATGTCTACCCCTAATTAATGGTTCAGTTTATGGACTATCTTTCAAGTGTGCCACTAAATCATTCAATGGCACGAAGTCAATATTAGAAAATTCATTTTTAATCAATAATCCAATTAAGATCGATATCCTTGTTCCAATTATTTCTTTGATTGGATCATTAGCTAAAACACATTTTTGTATCATATTAGGGCATCCCATTAGTAAATCGATTTGGTCTGATTTAATAAATTATGGTATGATTGATCGATTTGTGCGTATATGCAAAAAAAAGTTCATTATTATAGCGAATTTTCCAAAAAAAAGAATTAAAATTAAGCAAAGAAATCTTTGGCTTTTAATGTCGAAACCTTAAACCAATAACCAAATCAATACGATATTTATTATCAATTTTTTGATTCTTAACAATTCAATTTTTTGTTTAATCGATAAGAAAATATCCTCATATAATCATACCCATGAACTATCGGGTATAACCATAAATTTCTATATGAACCACTTTTGTTTTAGACATAATTGTTCAAATTCTAGAAGATTCATCCGATAAATTGAGGAAACAACATTTATTGTCTTGTCTTTGTCATAATTAAATACTCCCTCCATTTTAAAAAGGGTGATCTGATTTGATTTGATATGGAGTTTTAGAAAATAAAGAAGACTTTTGAATCTTGTAATCCTAAATTAAAATTATGACAAATGTACTAAATTGCCCTTCAATCTTGTGACTATAAACATGTTGAAATTAAAATGTTATCAAAAAAGGAAATAGATCATTCTTTTTGAAACAGATTAAAAAGGAAATGAGACCATTATTTTTAAAACGGGGGAAGTAGAAGGTTAATACTAATTTGTGTGGAGAAGAGAGCGTTGCTAACTACTTTGTTAATAATAATTTTAATATAAAGTATGTGCAGGCAAAATTAGGTCACACAGAAGAACAAAGCACCGAAAATTGAAGATGGCAATGGAGATGAGGAGAATTTTTCTGCGGAAATGTAATGGTATTCTCTCTATCTCTTCCTTTCATATTTCACATTCTTATTCTTCTTCTTCACGCCGTAGTAAAGTAAAGGGTAGAGTTGTGTTAAATTTTGAGAAACTCAAGTGTTTAGATGATGCTGTTACTCTCTTCCATCAAATGGTTACAATGAAGCCTCTTCCTTCAGTTGTCGATTTCTCTAAATTATTTAAGAATATGATAAGTATGAAGCATTACTCTGCTGTCCTTTCTCTTTTTCGAGAAATGCAGAAATTGGGTATCCAAATTGATGGAGTCATTTTGACCAGTGTGATTAACAGTTATTGCATGATGCATTGTGCTGATTGTGGATTTTTGGTGTTAACCATTTACTTGAAGAATGGCGTTTCATTTGATGTTGTCACCTTTACCACCCTAATAAGGGGACTATTTGCTGAAAATAAGGTTAAAGATGCAGTTGAATTGTTCAAAAAATTGGTGAGAGAGAAGATTTGTGAGCCTGATGAAGTCATGTATGCAACAGTCATGAATGGACTCAGTAAAAGGGGTCATACTCAGAAAACTTTAAGTTTGCTCCGGTTAATGGAACAAGGGAACACTAAACCCAAAATAATTAACTACAACATTGTTATAGATTCCCTTTGCAAAGATGGAAACTTAGATGATGCTATCATCCTTCTGAATGAGATGAAGCAGAAAGACATTTGTCCCGATGTAGTCACATATAATTCAATAATTGATAGTTTGTGTAAGTTTGGTCAGTGGGGAAAAGTAAAGACTTTGTTCTATGAGATGGTGAACCTTAATATTTATCGAGATGTGCGAACTTTCAATATACTAATAGATGGACTATGCAAAGACGGGAAAGTTGAAGATGCTGAGGAAGTAATGAAACAAATGGTTGAAAAGGATGTCGAGCCTAATGTAATCACCTACAATGTGATAATGGATGGATATTGTTTGCGTGGTCAACTAGATAGAGCTAGGAGAATTTTTGATATCTTGATAGATAAGGGCATTGAGCCTACCGTTTTTAGCTATACCATACTAATAAATGGATACTGTAAGAAAAAGAAAATTGCCAAGGCCATGCAATTGTTTTGTGAAATTTCTCAAAAGGGATTAAAACCTAATATTGTTACCTACAATACTATCTTGCAAGGTCTTTTTGAAGTTGGAAGAATTGGTGTTGCAAAACAATTGTTTGTTGAGATGGTATCTACTGGGCCGGTACCTAACTTATCTACTCATAACACTTTGCTTGATGGTTATTTTAAGTATGGACTTGTTGAAGAAGCTATGTCACTCTTTAATAAGTTGGAAAGAAAGAAAGAAAATATTGATATTGGATCTTACAATATTATCATTAATGGATTGTGTAAAAACGGTAAACTCGATGAAGCTTATGCTATTTTTGAGAAGCTTTCTTCAATGGGATTGCTTCTGAATGTGAGAACATACAATACAATGATAACTGGATTTTGTCTACAAGGGTTGTTAGATGAAGCTAAAGATATGCTTAGAAAAATGGAGGGGGACAATTGTCTTCCAAACAATGTCACTTACAATGTTATTGTGCAAGGGTATCTTAGGTGCAGGAAAATAAATGAAATGGTAACTTTTATGAATGAAATGACTGGAACGGGCTTCTCATTTGACGCAACTACAGCTAAGTTACTGGTAAAGGAAATAAGTGAGAATCCTTCCATCCTTGAGATGATACCAGAGCTCCACACGGAAAAGAAGAAGTGAAAATTGTTATCGCTTGGTTTATTCGGCTATGTTTTAAACTTTGATACAGTTTTGTTTATCACCTCAAATGAAATTGAATCCAATGCAATTGTGGAAGATGAAATATGGCAATCAAAATGTTGCTTTGGCTTTCAGGCTGGCTTATTGAGGAGGTACATCACTGTTGATGTTTTGATTGTTTTTCCACTATTCTTTATCTTGGAAATCAGGTATTACTGTTCTCTTGATATGATAAATAGTGTGAGTTATCCTTATGTGTACACATTATAAGTTCAGGAATATCACTTCAATGCTATTTGTTATCTTCATGTATTGTATTTTCTATCTATTTGAGAATAAATAACAACTTTCTGCAATATATTGAGAAGTAGCACATATCAGACAGGCACTACATTATATGATGTCAATTTTGTTTATGTGTGGGTTTGCAGAACAGGTTCATCACGATCACGCCAGAAACTGAAGTTCTGAAAGCGAAGCAACTGATGATAGGTACTACTTTCTGCTTCGTTTCTTCTTTTAATGCCCTTATTAGTGTATTTGCTTCATACACAAGAAGATTTGCAATAATGTACTTTATGATGGACTTGAGGAGTAACAATTTAAGCCACGCCAAAAAAAAGAAGAGATTATACAGGAACAACAATTTTGAAAGAACAAGTTTTGGAATACCTAGCAAGACTACTGGTTTTTAACTATAAAGGACACGAAATGAAGAAGAAAAAAGGGAACACTGAACAAGAGTAGTGCAGTAACAATTGATATCAATACAACCCTCCATCACTTATTCACCACAACAGAATTGTCTGAGGATTTATCTTGACCCTCTAAGGCTGATGTACTGGCAAAGAGAATTGTATCTCGTATTCCTTACATGCCCTCTGCGAAGAAAATTACACTGGTCAATTTAATCGGAAAAAGAAAGAGAAGCGTACTCCATTTTATGTGGCACTCCTTTTCTTTTTAGCATGTTTAAAAAAGAACGCCTTTTCATAATTGAAAATAATTTAATTATAAATTTCCCATTTTACCTTTGATGACATGCTTTTATAGCCACAAATATGACATGGCATGTTTAAGACTAGAAGTTCTTTTCTTTTGTCAAACTCGGTGTCCTATGAAACTCCACCGCATAAAATTAAATGGAATAGGTAATAAGTTCTGTCTATACTTACATATTTCCCAGGGTAAGAGCACTCACTATTTTTCACGCATGCTGTTTAAATAACGAGATATTATTCAGGCCAAGGACCTGTAAGTTTGTGTTCTTCTCTGCCTAGTGGCTCTGATGCATCTCTCTGCCTAACTGGTTGTCCAGCTTACACTTAACGTTGCTTGACATGGACGTGACTGCAGGTGCTAGATTACATTGAAGATAGCGGTCTTGAGGAGATTGCATAAGGAACTTCAAGAGCTTAGGGTGTTTCCTTCTGGTCCATTTGCTCCAGGACAAATGTATCCTTGACAGAGCAAGAGCTACAGCTGCCCTAAGCTTCAGTCAGTTTTATACTTCTGCCACCAAATGACAAATGACGCCTTGGTTACTATTGCTAGGAACCATTCTAATATCATCCGATTTTGTTTGTGTATTATCAAACCTCAAAATCCTGTAACCCTTGAACCACTTGATACTGGTTTTGGGGCCATTATTCAACATTGCAAGGAATTGTGGCAACTCTCTCTTTCTGACCTCCTTACAGACCGTGTGTTTGAGTACATCAGGGTCCATGCTAAGAAGTTAGAGATGCTTTCTTTAGCTTTTCCGGGGGATAACCATCTAGACCTCCACTACATACTCTCTGGTGTGAGAGCCTCCGCAAGTTGGAGATTAGAGACTGCCCCTTTGGCGATGAGGCTCTGTTGTCCAATGCTGCAAAGCTGGAGACAGTGCGATCCCTTTGGATGCCTGATTGTTCAGTAAGTTTTGAAGCATGTAAGCTGCTAGCTAGCTCAGAAGTTGACAGGGCTCAGAATTGTGCATGGCCATTGTTACAACCACAACCAGTGATAGAGCCACATATACTTGAGGGATGTCAATTAACACTCCTTCGTCTGAATATTACAATTGTATAGCTTGGTAAAAATATTTCTTTTATGTATATATATGCCAACTCCTCTTGACTTCTACACAATTTTACTTTTTATATTTTAACATCTCTTAGTAAAAATTATGACTTTGTCACTAGTCACAACCTGTTTTTGGCAACTAGCCAAACAAAAAGGGCTCTTGGAGCAACAACAAATCTTTTAAAGATTCAAGACACATCAACGTCTTGCTTTTAATAGTATATTGACAGTTGCGTTTGACATAAAACAAATAATGTGTTGTCTCGAAAAATATTATGGGGTTGGAATGAGTTGGGGAGTGGGAATTGATCTCTGATCCTCTGGGCGGATAACTCAACATTCAATCATGTACACTATTTAGTCTTCTTTTAGCATACGTATATCATATCAATTTAAAAAAATATATCCACAAAATACTTGAGATCATAGGTTCAGGTACCCTATATTTAGGCTATAAACTCACCCTTGATAGGGGTGGGTCAAGGGATGGAGATTGACGATTAGATGAATGGAAAGGATACTATACGTTTATTTTTATTTATTATTTAATCATCATATTTCATTTTTTATCCGACAATTTCATAATAGTTCTACCACGTACACTATTTTTTTTGTAGGTTTTTTAACACAAATTATAGGTGTATTACATTATATAAGGAAAGCAAATGATACAATCTATTCAAACACAATATACATTAAAACAATACGGTACAATACAATATAATATCATTCCTTGTGAACAACTATATCCAAGCGAAGTGTTAAAAGAGATTCCTACAAAATTAGGTCACACTTGAAATTATCGAGCAACTCAGTGAGAGAAATTTGCTTTAGCAATGGCGATGAGCAGAATGTCTCTGCGGAAATGCAATGGTATTCTCTCTATCTCTTCCTTTCATATCTCCTATTCTTATTTTTCTTCATTTTCACGCAGTAGTGAAGTAAAGGTAAAGGGTGGAGTTGGCTTAAATAGTAGCAGTTTTGAGTGTTTAGATGATGCTGTGAATCTATTCCGTCAAATGGTTAGAATGAAGCCTCTTCCTTCAGTTGTCGATTTCTCTAAATTGTTTAAGACTATGATAAGTATGAAGCATTATGCAGCTGTCCTTTCTCTTTTCCGACAAATGCTGAAATTGGGCATTCCAATTAGTGATTTCATCTTGAATAGTGTGATTAATAGTTATTGCCTGATGCATCATGCTGAACTTGGATTTTCGGTGTTACCTATTTACTTGAAGAATGGCATTCCGTTTAATAATGTTACCTTTACAACTCTAATAAGGGGAATCTTTGCTGAAAATAAGGTTAAGGATGCAGTTGAATTGTTCAAAAAATTGGTGAGAGACAAGATTTGTGAGCCCAATGAATTCATGTATGCAACTGTAATGAATGGGCTCAGCAAAAGGGGTCATACTCAGAAAACTTTAAGTTTGCTCCGGTTAATGGAACAAGGTAACACTGAGCCCAACATATATATCTACAGCATTGTTATAGATGCTCTTTGCAAAGATGGAAACTTAGATGCTGCAATCAACATTCTGAACGAGATGGAGCAGAAAGACATTCCTCCAAACATAGTCACATATAATTCAATAATTGATGGTTTGTGTAAGCTCGGTCAGTGGGAAAAGGTTAAAACTTTGTTCTCAGAGATGGTGAACCTTAATATGTATCCAGATGTGTGCACCTTCAACATACTAACAGATGGACTATGCAAAGAAGGGAAAGTTGAAGATGCCGAGGAAGTAATGAAACACATGGTTGAAAAGGGTGTTGAGCCTAATGTAATCACCTACAATGTGATAATGGATGGATATTGTTTGCGTGGTCAACTAGATAGAGCTAGGAGAATTTTTGATATCTTGATAGATAAGGGCATTGAGCCCGACATTTTTAGCTATAACATACTAATAAATGGATACTGTAAGAAAAAGAAACTCACCAAGGCCATGCAGTTGTTTCGTGAAATTTCTCAAAAGGGATCAAAGCCTAATATTGTTACCTACAATACTATCTTGCAAGGCCTGTTTGAAGTTGGAAGAATTGGTGTTGCAAAACAATTGTTTGTTGAGATGGTATCTACTGGGCCAGTACCTAACTTATCCACTCATCACACTTTGCTTGATGGTTATTTTAAGTACGGACTTGTTGGAGAAGCTATGTCACTCTTTAATAAGTTGGAAAGAAACAAAGAAAATATTGATATTACATCTCACAATATTATCATTAATGGATTGTGTAAAAACGGTGAACTCAATAAAGCTCGCGCTATTTTTGAGAAGCTTTCCTCAATGGGATTGCTTGCGAATGTGAGAACATACAATGCAATGATAACTGGATTTTGTCTACAAGGGTTGTTAGATGAAGCTAAGGATATGCTTAGAGAAATGGAGGGGGACAATTGTTTTCCAAACAATGTCACTTACAATGTTATCGTGCAAGGATATCTTAGGTGCAGGAAAATAAATGAAATGGTAACTTTTATGAAGGAAATGACTGGAAGGGGCTTCTCATTTGACGCAACTACAGCTGAGTTACTGGTAAAGGATATAAGTGAGAATCCTTCCATCCTTGACATGATACCAAAGCTTCACGCAGAAAACAAGAAGTGAATATTGCTTTCACTTGGTTTATTCGGCTATGTTATAACTTTGATACTGTTTTGGTTTATCACCTCAAATGAAATGGAATCCAATGCAATTGTGGAAGATGAAAAATTGCAATCAAAATGTTGCTTGGGCTTTCAGGCAGGCTTATCGAGGAGGTACATCACTTTTGATATTTTGATTGTTTTTCCACTATTCTTTATCTTGGAAATCAGGTATTACTGTTCTATTGATATGATAAATAGTGTGAGTTATCCTTAAGTGTACACATTATAAGTTCAGGAATATCATTTCAATGCTATTTGTTATCTTCAATGTATTATCATTTTCTATCTATTTGAAAATAAATAACAACTTTCTGCAATATATTGAGAAGTAGCACATTTCAGACAGACACTCCATTATATGATGTCAATTTCGTTTATGTTTGGGTTTGCAGAACAGGTTCATCACGGTCACGCCAGAAACTGAAGTTCTGAAAGCGAAGCAACTGATTATAGATACTACTTTCTGCTTCATTTCTTTTTTTGAATGCCCTTTTCAGTGTGTTTAACACAAGAACATTTGCAGTAATGTACTTTATGATGGACTTGATGAGTAACATATGATAAACAAACAATTTAAGCCATGCCAAAAAGAAAGAGATTATACAAGAACAACATTTTGAAAGAATACATAGCAAGAGTACTGTATTTCTTTATTATAAAGCGCACAAAATGAAAAAAAGAAGAAGGGGGAAACTGAATAAGAGTACCGCAGTAACAATTGATATCAATACAACTCTCCATCACATATTCACCACAACAAAGTTATCTGAGGATTTATGTTTACCCTCTTTAGGCTGATGTACTGGCAAAGATAATCGTTTCTCGTATTCCTTACATGCCGTCTGCAATGAAAATTACTCTGGTCAAAGTAATCAGAAAAAAGAAGAGAAGCTACTCCATTTTATGTGGCACTCCTTTTCTTTTTAGCATGTTTAAAAAAGAACAACGCCTTTCCATAATTGAATTATAATTTTTTCCATTTTACCTTTGATGACATGCTTTTATAGCCACAAATATGACATGGCATGTTTAAGACTAGAAGTTCCTTCCTTTTTCAAACTCAGTGTCCAGTCAAACTCCATTGCGTAAAATGAAATGGAATAGATGCTAAGTTCATCTATACTCACATATTTCCCAAGGTAAGAGCTCTTACAACTTTTTACGCATGGTGCTTAAATAACCAGATATTATACATGCCTAGGACCTAGAAGCTCGTCCCCTCCCCAAATATCTTCAGCATATTCCTTAATGTTCTTATCGGAATATGCAAGTTGAGGGTTCTGTAAGTCTCACAATTTTTAATGAATAAATATTGTCGAACTAGGCGGAATCTCCTCAAGCTTACGACATCCCCACAGTACTAATTTCTCAAGCACAGGAAAGGATTCCTCCCCAACCTCCCACTTGGCAAGAGTCACTTTGCTCAAATTCAAAAATTTGAGATTATCAAAGGTGTCTTGCTCCCCCATTTTCCATTTTTATCCCTGGATGATTGAGTCAACAAGGGTCAGCTCTTCAAGGTTGGGCAGTCTCCGTATTGATGATAGTGAATCGGATGTCAGATGGAAGTTACACAACCACAATTTTTTTAAACCGAAAGGGAATTGAAAATCCCAAGGCTGATTTGTCGCTACACTGTCATTTGTGTTTGAACTTATAAAACCTTCTGTGAGGGATTCTACTTCATTTAGGATATCCAATTTCGGGAACCAATAGGCAAAAATTCAACAATTTCTTAACCGACCTCAAGGAACTATTCCTACATTGTTATATTGAAATATTGCTCT